TCATCATCATTAATAGTTCACTGCTGGCCATAACCCTCTCCTTAGGAAGGTGGTTTTGGCCTACTATACCACGCTGGCCAGAAGGGTTGGTATACGGTTGTTGGTTGTTGATGTATTTCAACTAGAAAATAACAGCCAATAGTGTGTAATCGCTTGAAAAAGATTTTATTATTATTAAAATTTCAAAAAAAGAACTCTAAATCTCTTCCTTTGTTGAAATGAATTATAGCGAGCAAGTGTACAAATAAACAAGAGATACATCATTGGACGCACTGAGCACTAAGTAGTGACGTCACACACATTCCGCGTGGCGACTCACTCTGTCACTCACAGCCAAGATTTAATTTTAGAATCGGTTTACTAGTCTTGTTCACAGGGCTGCCATTTAATTTATTTATTGAGAAGGATCACATAAATATCAAGGCTTGTTCCGACTAAGGGAGCAAACTAAGCAGGACAACAGCACTGCAAAGAGAAAGAAAACTTGAAACAAACCCTATACCAACCCGTCTGGCCAGCGTGGTATAGTAGGCCAAAACCTCCTTTCTAAGGAGAGGCCTATGTCCAGCAGTGGACTAGTATAGGCTGTACTAGTATAGGATGATAAAAATTGGCGATCGTACTACTCAGAATTGTGCTTTTCTTAGTAAAGTTAACTTATTAATAATTAAATGTATCCAGACCTTGAGAACGAGAATTTACGAGTATTTAAGGTTCAAATTTTGTACTTAATATTACATAGCAGCAAAAAGCGCTAAACAGACAACTTGGAACTTTTTTTTTCAAGCACAGCGCTGTATTATTGTGCAGTAGTTAGTAAAACGTCCTTTGATATTTCTGAAAAATGTAAAAACAAGTCATCTGTATTTAGGTAGCACACTTTTATAAAATAGTTTTTGTCAGGTTTATTATATTTGGTTTACGAAATTATACGGCTTAATAAACCGAAAGTACAAGAAATATGTAAGTTCTATTTGAGAAATTTTAAAACTTAACGAAGTTTGTCAATAGAAACGTGAAAATACATATAAAGCTATGCAATTAGTTTAATTAAAGCTATGAATAGTGAATATTAAGAAATGAGTATGAAATAATTGAAAGGCTTACATTTCACTATTTGCTTCGTAATTGTGACAACCCTTGGCAATCCGTTTGCTCTGTAATGCGTACCAATGACGCGTAATTAGCAAACATAAACACATCCGTTTCGTCCGCAACCGAATATGGAAATGGAAAAGTTTGACAGAAATAAATACCGAAGACTACACAATTTGTATCTGAGCCGATATAATTTGGTAATTTGGATAGATTTTAATTGAAATAAAATTGGTCTCGACACATTACAGTTGTTTGGTTTGAATCAGTGCGATGAGAGAGGATGGCTGGAGGATGGGGGTTTTCACTCGTTTAAACAATTCTTGTTACAAATGCTAATGAACGGTATTGAATAATCCTAATTTAGGAATAAAAACGAAGTCACGAACATTAAAAAACTTCTCTTCTCTCTCTCATAAACGAAAATAATATACATATATATTGCACAAAAATTCAATTGCTCTTTAAATGCGTAAGATAATTCGCGCAAAATTTAGGAGCTCAATACGGCCAGAACAGTCCCTAATATTCTACATTAAGTACGGTAATGGCCTGGTAGCTGCAGTAGACTATGTCGTTTATTTTTTATATTTCTCCCATAATTTATTCTATGATATTAAGACATAACTTTTTCCAAGTACTTTAATAAACGTTATATGTATAACTGCGAAGACTTCATATGTAAAAGTATGTAAGTGGTCATTAAATGACCTTATAACTCTATTTATTTAGGGAATATTGGTACCCGCGACTCCCGTTCGTGTGGGATATGGGACAACACTTTGTGTAATCCACAAATTTTGTTCTGAGTATGGGTGTCCTTGGTGTCCGTTTCATGTTCTTTGTATGTTTGTATACTAATGCGTACTCCTAATGCGGGAGTTGTCTTTTTAAAAAGATCAATATCTTCTTTTATTATTTCTCCCATGAATCATATCTTTTATATCATCAGTTTAAGTCAAACACTTTCGTTTGGTATCGAGTGGGCTTTCAGTTAATGTCGTCACGTTCGAAAGAAACATTCAATAATATTTTTATTCTTAATACTTCGAAACACGTCAAGCTGAAAAACAATTTATCAAAGTCCTAAAGAAACACAATATTTTATAAATCATCCTTAAAACCACTCTTTTACATGCTTTTATATAAATACAGCCAAAACTACGAACAAATTGATGCCTTACTTGCTTACCTACACTTCCAAATATCAATGCTTTAATTTCCAATTATAATTATTTTTATGTTAGAGGGGGCAGACCAGCAGACGTGTCACCTAATGGAAAGTGACCATCGCCGCCCATGAACATCTGTAACTCAGGAGTCACAAACGCGTTGCCGTAGCGTAGAGAGCGTAATCCTTCCTAAATTCCTTCCATTTTTCCGGAATTCTTACAAGGAAAAAAATTCAACTCCGATGCGGCAGTCAAAACCACCTTCAAAGTGTAGCGAGACTTCATAGTAGAGCCTATGAGATGGCAAAAGTGCATAGATAACAACGGTTCATAAATTGATTCATTAAATATATTTTACAAAAAAAAAAGACATTATATTCCACCCGTACAAAACGCCAATTTCATATGTAAGGACCTAATATAAGGGTGTATTGTGTAAGAGGCTTTAACTGAACAGGGAACAGTCCCCGAGTCGCAGGTCGTCACTGTGTAGGAGACAGTCTAATTTTATTCTTTATTTTATGTCATTTGTATCAATGTTATTGTATGAGTGCATATAATATAAAACAACATATAACAAGGTTTTTGGTAGTAAAGATAATTAATAATAATAATGTTGTGTGTTTGGAACTTAAATATTAAATTATACAGTATAATTATACATGCTCAATTTTGAAGCTTATTTGAAATTTTGTAAGAAGTCTCGAACAGAACTGCGTATAGAACAAAATTACAACGGTATAATCACCCGAACTTATCCTAAAGTTATATACTTGTACCTGGTATGATGAATAGTTTACAATATCAGTCGCCTAACTAAAGCAACTCTGCACAATGAAATTAGAGCGGTTGTATATCTAAAATTGATCGGTCACCTTGTGAGACTAATTCACTTTCTTCTAATTTAAAATTATATCTCTCACGGGTAAAGATCTAAATCGAATTATTTCTCGCCTAATTCTAGGGGCTGAAAATAAGATAACGAAATTCTAATTTTTATCAAATAAAATGTAGGCTAGACGGACTAAATTTTATTCTTAAATGACTTACTTTGACTGTACTTACCGCCGCAAAATAGATTTGATGTGATTTTTCTTATTTTGGGCTTGGGATATTTATATAGATAATGATAAAGGACTTAAGCATATTTCTTTATACCAAATACGTCCTATATAGGTCATACTCCAAGGTACAAGGTAAAAGACCCCTTAGACATATCTACTCAGATACCAGCAATAACATAAGTGACGATGACTGCACGGATGGCGTAGTGGTTTAAGCGGTCGCCACGCCGCTTCCTACTACGTCGAGTGTTGTGGGTTCAAACCCCACATGGGACGACACTTTGTGTGATCCACAAATTGTTGTTCTGAGTCTGGGTGTTATTTGTGTCCGTTTCATGTGTGTTTGTAAAGTCCCCCGCGACACAGGATATGTTCCTAATGCGGGAGTTGTCTTTTAAAAAAAAAAAAAATGGTGAATACGTAAGAAGGAAGTCTTAAAAAACATCACATACCTATTATACTACGTAACACACACCTAAAGACATGTAAATCAGTTCAGTAAGGAATACAATTTTCTTACTATACCATGCTTTGCACATCTGTGAAGCTTTGAGTATTTCCTATAGAACTTATGTATCCAATTGATAACGAGAAAAGAGGCTCTTATTATGTAGGTACCCCTAAATAAATTCCGCTTCCTTGCAGTATATGAGAATCTCCCTTTTTATTACTAACCTTGAATAGCTTCGGGTCACATACACAATATATATCTTCCCGTGGGAATCATAGAATGTTAATAAAGCTTGCGTCAGAAACATTTACCACTGGATTTCTAGGTGTGCAGGGAAATAATTTTGGGCGGCAAAGTTTTCCTTTGGAAATTTACCCTACGAAGCTTAAGTAGGATAACGAAACACGTCTTTGTCTGTACTGTTCAACAGTTCGATTTATTGTGTACCACCAAGAAGTATTTCAGTGCTTCTATCGTATTAGTGCTATCTATTTGGGTAAATAATGCACTTTATACTGCTGTTGACACAATAGGTGCTATTATCGTAGAACACGGTATTAGTAGTATACACGGTACACAAACTAAACCGTTTCGATACAGTAAAGGCGTCATCCTTTACTGTGTCCAAACGGTTTATACCAAGTTTTGCTTACTTTAGTTATTTGTTAATATAATAAAATATGTCTCTCACTGTTGGGAGTTCCTCGATGAGATTTACAAAATATACTGGCCTGTTGTAGGTTTGATTTCCACTCTGAACAAATGATTGTGTGATGAGCACGATCATTTGTTCTGTGTCTGGGTACAATTTTTCTATCATAATAATATTTAGAAATATATAAGTATCTATCAGCAGTCTGGTTACCATAGTACAGGCTTTGACAAGTTTGATATCAGACAGCCGTGTGATTTATTGCGAAGTTATTATTATAATAATATAATATTGTACCACATTCACACAACGACATCTAGTCCCAAACTAAGCAAAGCTTGTACCATGGCTTCTAGATTACTGATATCAATACAAATATACTTTTTTTGTAAATATATACTTATTATACATAGAAACACCCAGACCAAATCAAACATTAAATTTTCATGCACACAAATGTTTGACTTGAGCGGGAATCGAACCCATGTTCATATTCGACATTTATTTCTAAGATATAAAGTTTACTTGCATTTTACTATAACCGACTTTATTTGGTTATTTTACAGATATACACAATTATATCCGATAAACTCGTGGGCTTACTTCTAAGAACTCGCAAGCATCAGTTGACTTTCTTCGAAGGAGAAGTTTTATTCCAGGTAATTTGCGTTATATTTAACACTTACTTAGATTGCGCCTAAAAAGTGCCTTAAAAGAGTTCAAGTGTAAAACATTGAATTATTACCTTATAGATATACGAGTAAATTAAATAAATAAAATAATAACATTGTTATACGTAATAACAGAGCTCTTTTTAACCTTAACATAGGCTTAGCTTGTACTGACGGTTCTAGAAAACTGATGAAATGAACTTAATATCTAAATTTATATTTTAATTTTAGAAATGAATATAATATTTATATACCTAATACACTAAATAGTGTACTATTTACACATACACATATTTTTAGTGGACGAAAATCGAACCTGATACGTTCGAAATGCCTTGCAGCCTAATCCACTACCACAACTAAGTTGTCAATAATTAGATTAAAGAAAAGTAAAATCATGGTTTTTTTATTTGTCACAAGCAATAGAGTGACTTCCTTAGTAATCCTACGATGAATAGTATTTCTTCACATACGATGTGTTGGTAAATTGTTCTACTTTCCAGAACAATGGTGTAAAATGTTGAGTGTAGCCAAAGGCAACCGAACCATCAATCGTGCTTTAAATGTGAGAGGCGTATATTTCACTAGTTAGGCTGTAGCATTTTATATATTACCTACCATTCACTATTTTCATTCGTGTCTATTGTTAAAAGAAATTAAGAAAATTTATCAGACTTAAAGGACGCCACTGTTATTAACCCGTAATATTACGAGAAAGTTGTTTTTGATAATATTATAACAAAAATGTTTTAATACATGACGAGAATCTTGGCTTGGAAAATTTCATAACCGGAAATCATTTATGAGCAGAAGTGTAGTATAACATATTATTATTTAAATAATAATATGTGTGACTTTAAAGTCACGTGAGAATTGTTACATCAAAACTTAACACGACCAGTTTATACGTTGACTAATTAGGGTACGGAAAATTATAAAATGATAATTCAAGATATACTGGACAACTAATTAAAATAAACTTCAAAACTGAACAATCGACAACGTCATTTCTAGTTTTATTTAAACTCATACTTTTTTTACAGAAACGTGACGATGATGTTCCAGTATTCCTGATGCAGCCCATTGCTGATATTAGAGCTTATTGTGACAATAAAGCACTGCAGGCAAGACGATCCGTGTCTCCAATGCCGGATAGGTTGTAAATAGATTTAAAAAAAAAAACTAATATAAACTTACAGTTCGCGCATCCAAAATAATAATGACATAATTACGTTTTAGTTATTTGTGTAATTACGTCGTTGTCGTAATTTTTTGATGAGCGAGTTGTAAATTAAGACATTGACAGAGAGCTGTTGTATTTTTTTTCAAAAAGCTAAGAATCCTATTTTTTTATGAAAACACTATTTGTTTTTTATAATAACTTTTTCAAAAAAAGTTTTTTTTTCGTTATGGCTTTTGTAACCGATCTAAAATAGTTTTACGTCTTACTCATTCACAGAATCTTAAATTCATCAAATAAGAAAAACAAAATATTTATTTTTAAAACATTAATTATATTTTATATAACTAACCCGACATAAATGTATATGTTATATATAGGTAGTAACAATTATTGGTGATAGTTTAATTAAAAGTAATTTAATTTAATTACTATTAACTAATTTAATTAAAAATGTTTTAATTACGAACTAAATCGGAATGTTACACAATGTACGTATGTATAGTATAATGGTGCATTTAAGCCAAGAGATTTGCGATGACATCATAAACGTAAAAATAAGACAACAGCTGCAAAGAGCCATTAGCTACAACTTTGTGATAAAAACCGTTGCTATGTAAATTGGTCTATGAAAATTATCCTACAGAGTACGTGGCCTGAATCTTCTAGAAGTTCGGCTTTTATCGTTGCATCATCTAAATAAAGAAATGAGTTTCATTTATATCAATTAATTTATATTATGTAAAGTATTTCTAAATCTGTAATCGATCTCCTCTGTGCGAAAACCACATCCTCATATCACTTACGTTTGTAGTCATATTCATTTCGTACTTCATTTATTTTTTATTTTTTTGTTCATGCATTCCTTGGTGCAGATAATTATTGGAAAATAAAACATTAAAAAACTTCTGACTTTAGCTGCTTATCTAGATCTTATTTTTTTTTTTTGGTATAACATTTAAAAGCCTCGTCCGACTCCAATACAAAATGAATATGAGTATAAAGAAATACCACTGATATTATTATGTGGTAATTAAATCTAACAGATCTAAGCGATGAAATGGTCTAACGTTACTACCTAGTTATTTTCCTTAATAAAATAAAAATACGTCGGGAATCGTACTAAATGTTTGGTGTGTATCTATAATAATCATTTTATACGTTAGGTAATAGAAAGATATAAGTAAAGAAGGGACCTTTTGTGTAGATTGTGTGAATTGCCTTTTGTATGCATCGTAAAATGTGTCATGTGAATAAAAAATTGTACATTCGAAAATTGAAATATCAAGGGAGTAGATGTTTTGGTCCACTGTTGTGATAGTAAACAGATGAATGTTATATTACTGCTATTAATAATATTGATTTGTGTGTATAAAATTCAACAGTTATTTACTCATAATTTGTTGGTGTATAGATTTAATCGGGTGCTTACCTGTGAAGGCTCCTCGACTTATCCCACAATTTAATGATATATTCAGTACAAGAACAATCCCTTGTCATAATATTTAGATTCAATAAAAGTTTCCCAATGTCATATTTAGATTCTTAAAGATAATGTTCTTATTATCCTGAAGTCAATTTTATTTTTGTACACAAGATAAAGGATCGGACTGTGGACACTATATACCAACATATTGTCTTATTAACTAGATACACTGATTTTACTTGAAGCAATTCTGCAGAAATAAATTATCAAAGAAATAACAAATTTATAAATAAGGTTTATTATTATATGTTTTTAAAGTGTCTATTGGCCGCTTTTATTGTTAAGCTCATTTAAATTAGGAACATAAATTAAACGAAATGTATACTTGTAAAAGATAGTTAGATGGCTGACTTGCCGACGGCTTATTATTCAAAACGAAAAATTTAAAGAGATATTAACATTAATTAAAATACAACTTGTCTTCATCAGCTCATCAACATACTCCTACTTTCACTTTTAGTATAGCTTAATAAAATTAAAAAAAAATAATTACATAATTAATAAAAGGGGCTCCGAGCTAGGTGGTAACCGAAAAGGTTAGCATATTGTAAAGTTAAGCAATCCAAACCAGGTTAGTCTATGGATGGGTGACCATTCTTAACACATTGAGACTCCTCCATCCATATTTGCCGATTGCCATACCAACATCTGTGGCAATCGTTACGGGTAGTCGGAGCCCTAAAGTCCGACAACAGTCTATCAACAGAACTTCGATATTGCCTAGTACTTGGGTTGAGGAGGTCTGATGGCAGTGTCGCTCCACGTAGTAAATCGAAGTTCAAGCGTTTCGTAATAGATTGAGCGCCGAGTCTTAGTTTGGGGAAATACTCGGAGGATGATGATGATGATTACACGACCAAAATACAAACTTATGACCATCAGACGTTGTGTAAAGTACTGTTTTATTTGGCAATAAAAAATATCATTGAAAATATTGATAACTCACATATCATTTTCAGGCAAATAAAATTAGGCTGTAATCCTGTTCTTTCAGACAGATTTGTTTCATTTAAGTCCCAGAAAATTTCAGACTCAGTTTTTAATACTTATAAACAGAGATTAAACTAGAATTGTATGACGATGGTTATAAAAAATAACCATATTTAATTAAAAAAACTCACGCTACAATTAAAATAGTGCACTTAATAACAATATGGTCTGGTTGTTGCTTATAATCAACTTAAACAGATTTCAAGACATAAGTTGTAAATATTATATTGGCTTTTGGAACATTTCTAAAACTTCTTAAATTAGGGCTTAATGGTCTTATAAGAAGTACGTTATTTGAAATATACTTTAAGAAAGTTTTTGTGATGGTGATTAGCTAAATCATCAACCTCTTTTAAATTATTATAACCTTTAAGTATAAAGCTATACATGCATCATATATTATAATTATCATTATATTCTGGTCTATCTAGTCGAATTAACTTATAAGATATGATTGTAAATAAAATAATATGCTTTAAAATAAACTTATCTGACTGTTGCCTTTAGTTTTTTTTTATCAAACAAGTAGCACAATATAGAAAGACATATAATGTACATTCTATAAACTACGGTGAACAAAGGACTTAGTCTTGTTGATAAATTGAAATTAATAATATAGGTATAAGCATTAAGTATAATCATACATTTACAAACAAAGTTATTCGTAAATTGATTTCACGAATAAATTGGAACTTTAATTTAAGGTACATTGTATAATGGCGGGCTGCATATAGGCTTTGTTTAATTATTACATCTATGTATCAAAGGAGACTGTTTACGAGGACGAACTCACAAAGGTTTTATCAACGTTTATTGCATGCATTTATTTGTAACATGTCATTAGTAATCTTTACAAACTTTAGCAAAACAATAGGTAAAAATCTGAAGTCACCGGTGTTATTTAAACTAATATAGTTTAAATAACACCAGTGTCGGGTAATATTTTGGGCACAAAATGTAACAGCCATACATTTCGAAAGATAAAATAATGAAATCAGCACATTTAACTTTTATCAATGAAATCATTTTATAAAAGAGAACACAACCTCCTTGTTTTTGATTTATGCTAGATACTTACGTATTTACGGTTGCTTAAGAGTAAGTAGAGTTAGTTGCCTGTGTTTTGAAGGATTAAGAAAACGGAGTGTCACCACACCGAGAGCAAACTACGAGTACGCACTACATAGAGAAGGAAACCTTAATACAAACTCTATACCCACACGTCATCGTGGTTTAGTAGGCAAAAACCTCCTTTCCAAGGAGAGGTCCATTCTAACAGTGAACTATTAAAGGATGATGATGAATTAGTTTAATACTGAGTGATGAACAGATTAGTCAGTTTTCTTAATTTACTTTAGAAATATCGAGTAGTAGTAGTAGCTAATAATAATACAATAGGCAACGATTATGAGAAACTATTAGACTGCTGCCCTTACAGATCTGCTGCTGCCTAGCGGTCTGAAACCCCTGGCAGGAGCCCACTTAGCTCTAGGATAAATACGCCTCTAACCATTTGTGATTATTTCAATTATTATTTCCTTGTTATATTAACTCGTTGGGGATTACCCAACGGGTTAACAAGAACATTAATATTGTTTATTCCTTGTCTGCGTAGGTAGACTTTCCTAGAAGGGTGACAATACGGATAGAAAGAATTTCTGTCCGTATTGTCACCCTTCTAGGAAAGTCTTTCTTTTCACGTACATATAGTTTTGCATCATCATCATCAATATCAACAGCCTTTAATAGTCCACTCTCCTTAGAAAGTAGGTTTTGGCCTACTATACCACGTTGACCAGACGTGTTGGTATAGGGTTTGTTTCAAGTTTTACTTCTCTTTGTACTACTGTTGTCCTGCAGAGTTTGCTCCCGTTGGCTCTTACGACAACCACGGGATGTCATATTGTATTTATGGAGAAGAAATACATAATAAGCAATATGTTCAGTGTTTGTAGAAGATCAAAATTACTTCAGCTGATTACACTATTCTGTCAATTTTATAAGAATGTTTTCAGTACGGTCGATAGGTATTTACACGTGCACAATATGTTGAGGTAATTTGGCTTTAATACCTCACCAAATTTTAAAAGTCTTAAAAGCACAACCCTTCTAATGGGCTCTTCGGCTGACAGAATTAAATGTCCGTCTTCAATTTACATCTAGTTAGTATGCTCAAGTATTAGAAGTAGAAGAACTAGTAGTTTTTTAAGAAAGCAGTGTCACAAGTAACCAGTTGTTATTAGTATATTTACATTTTTAAAACATAAGTAGCTCAATCAAAAAACAATGAGTGAATTGAACTGCCATTTTACTTAATATATTATATACGAGTATACATATACTATACAGAATAGATTCGTCTTCAACCTTCGGAAATATGACCATGGTTCCTCCTTTAAATGGCTCACTATTCGTCAGCGCCGTCAGCGTCTTCTATTCTATTCTCAACTTACCCATTTCCCCTCCTACGTGACATCCCCATTCCAATTTCTATGTTCCAACCGCGA